CATGCAATAATCACAAAGATGAAGTGGTAATAATATCCTCCCTTTTTCTTATGAAATGTGTCCATACTGTTTATGAAGCTGGGGAAAATATGCTCTTTTCTCTCTAGGTTATATCAGAATGAAAATGCAGGAGAAGAATATGGAAATGTTTTCCCTCAAATAATTGCAACTAGCAGTCGTTTTGCCAAAGATTTAGAACTAGTTTCATTATAATTCACTAAAAGCATTTTCCCATTTCAGAGCTTTTCAAACTGTGTTTCATGGAACTCTGTTCCTTTCTGTGATAGAGAACCAACTGCCAATTTGTTTCAGGATCCAATTCAAAGAACAGTTTTGACTTTTTAACTCCCTAAATAGCCTAGGACCGGACATTGGCAATTCCATGCACACAACTCCCAGCATTTTTTTTCCTTTTAAACAGGTGTCAATTGGGCTCACAATTTGGACTGGGACTATAAAGCAGTTGAGGAGGGGTTTAAGCCTTTTCCCTAAACCATTTTCACTACCAGAACCCCCTCTTCAGACATTTGAGTTTGGCACTCCAACTACACATAACAGGAGTGTGCACTGTATGTGAATCTCCTACTATACGTTTTCACCATTTTGTGTGAATGGGGCAATGCACATATTTTTCATGTGCAAAGAAAAAAATATGCATGTAGCCACATTCATTCAAAATGGTTACTGGGGTGTACAGAGAGAGAGAAAAATAATATAATTTTAGATCTGGGCTTTGAGCAGAGGTTAGGATGATTGTTTATTTTGGGGTAGTACATTACCTGTTCCAAATTCAAATCTCTGTGATTCCGGGGTTCAAGAGCATTATTTTCAATAGGGACTGTATACGAAGGTCTGGGACAGCTGTTCATAAATATAATACCACCAGATTTGCACAGGATACAGTCCTTAATGTAATCTACAGACTGTCTAATTTTCAATCAGATTGAACAAAGGAATTTGGTTTTACAGACCCTCAAAGTAAATGACTCTGCACAGCTACACTTCTCTCTATCGATTCCTAAAATGACAGTCAATTACTGACTGACAAAAAATTTCCACTGAAACTCTATATTTGCCATCCTTTTTCTTTTGTTTCCTTTCACAAAGTGAAAGAGGCTTCTTTTGCACAGACCCACTCATCTATTTCCATTGGTCTGCCATTATTTACTATGGGGACATTTGGGCAGGGGGCTGGTGTGGCTATTTTTCAATCAAAAGGCACAAAAATTGCAGTGGAATGAGTGCTGTCTGTCCTCCGAAGAACCCCCACGGTCCCTTAATAAGGTGCCTTCAGCCCTCTATTTTCCCAGCCACAGAACTTGCCAAGAACAAAAAGGATCCATCCTAAAAAATGAGGGAGAGAAAGAGAACTGCAGCTTTCTGTGGATTGTCTCCAAAAGTGATTGGCTGGAAGCACTCTGTGCTCTTCCCTTACAAGAATTTAATTGTAAAGGAAAAATGTGATTGCTCAGGAAATCAGTAGAATCAAAGAAAAATATAAGCACAAGCTATAGGCAGCTAGTAGTATCCAAAGATGATAAACAACACAGATTGTTTCAGGAGGGGGTTTTGTTACCTCAGAACCTTGGATTTGTTTTACCATTCCGGAAAATCACAGCAATGGCCTGAACCATTCTATGTATATCTTCACTTTAGGAATTTCATTATGCACGGCCCTAATGGTGACTGCACATATTGGGTAGATCACATGTAGCGTGTGTTCCTGTTAGATACATTTGGAGCACCAAAATTGAATGTCTTAAACAGGGTCTCATGCAGCAGCAATTTGCCCCATTGGAGAAAACATCACTTAACCACTACTCCTCATCTTCCTGTGCCTGTGGCTGCAGTAGTTAAGAGAACATCCTGTGACTGAGGACAAGAAACAGAAGTAGCACATCCTCCTTCTGTATTTGGCTTAAGGGTTCTTTCTTGGCTCCTCCAAGTTTGAGATACAGAAAGTTAGTAGCAATTGAGAAAGTAAGCAAGCAAGGAGGGCCAGGACTGTTGAGAGAGAAAATAGGGGGGAATTTCAGACAGGCGTTATGTCCCGGTAGGGAACCGATTCTCAACCGGGTTGTGGTCTGTCATTTCAGACAGAACCCGGTTAGGAATCGGTTCCCTACCGGGATCTAAGTGGCATTTCAGACACAGAAGCCTCTCTTCCATATAGGAACCGGGAGGGAAGCGA